CCCGCATTCATTACGCTGGACTACCGTGGGACGATTATGACAGGATGGTTGCACTCAGCCAGGCAAACAGGTTGAGATTGCAAAATGCAGTGGTGTCCCTGAATGAAAGGAGACAACAGGCAGAACCATAGCAATTTTCTTTAATACTGGGATCATATTTCATTTGTAGCGCAGATGGCTTGGTATGGAGCCAAACGCAAGTTGAATGTGATGACAGCTCAAACTTGACCTGTCACCAAGGTGGGGTGTGACATTTTAGTAGTTCCACTGCATGGCATGTATAGGTCCCAGGTGTAAAGGTGATACTGAGAAGATTAGCATGGCCGTGATGCAAGGATGACACAAGCACAAACCGATGTGCATGACCGGGCCTATAGTGGCTCAAACAACCGCAGCAAAACAGAAGCTGTGAGTGCACCGCTGAATCCTGACAGTAAACATTTCAACTGTCTACATGAAAACATGTACAGATGTAAATGTGTAGTATGTGCAGCGTGTGTGTTTGTGTGTGTGTCCATGTATACCGACAAAAAGGGCCCAAAAAATCCTTGAAGAAATCCATATTTCTGAAAACTGCTATTCAGCATGTTCCAGCTGAGAAAAAGTCCGCTAACATGAAATTGAAATTGGTGATGCATTTGGCAATTCCTGCTCAGTTCCCTGACCCCTTGGGGGAGGAAAGAAAAGGAGCAATATGCCATGTATATATATATACAAACGCATTTGTAAGTAAATATGTACACAAAACATGACTTGTGTGTAAAGGTGTGTATACGTACATGTATACATACATGGATACATACGTGTATACAATCATGTATACATACATGTAAAATACACGTATACATACACGTATACATACACATATACAAACATGTATACATACATGTACACATACATGTATACATGCGTGTATCCATACATGTATACAGACACATATATATATATATAATCATTATTAATTATTGATATATATATATATATATACATGCATGCATACCATACCATACCGTACCGTACCGTACCGTGCCATGCCATGCCATGCCATACATACCATACATACCATACATACCATACATACCATACATACCATACATACCATACAAACCATACAAACCATACCTACCATACCTACCATACCTACCATACCTACCATACATGACATACATGCCATACATGCCATACATACCATATATACCATACATACCATACATGCCATACATACATGCCATACATACATGCCATACATACATGCCATACATACATGCCATACATACATGCCATACATACATGCCATACATACATGCCATACATACATGCCATACATACATGCCATACATACATGCCATACATACATGCCATCCATACATGCCATCCATACATGCCATCCATACATGCCATACATGCCATACATGCCATCTATCCATCGATCCATCCATCCATCCATACATACTTAGTATGATCCAATTGATTGGTTCAAATTGTGGCTAGCCCCATGGCCCCCAAACTCCAAAATTTGGCAGAAAACCACCCATCGCCCCATTTCTAGCTGATCTGTGAAAATGTGTGGAAACTTGGAGAGTCAGTGTTGGAGACATGTACAGTCGGTGTAGAGCTTTTAGGACTACGATCCACCTTTGATGCCTCACGAAGTCGCACCTGCAGAACTCTATGAGGTCTGGGGGGTTGATCTGAGATCTGTGTTCCGAGCCTGCTGTGCCCCAAACCACAGTTGCGAGAAGTTGCCATGGTCCTGATTCCATATTGGGGAGACAGAATCAGATTGAACTGGACATTGAAAGCATCAGTTGACTTCTTGCGGAGGTCTATCAGGGGCCTCATGTGAAGCCGTTGAAAGTGATCCGAATCCGTCAATATCGTAAGGCAGGAGACACCTTGGGTGACTCAGTTTTGCAAGATGAATTGACTTGAGGAGAATTGAGGTGATTTTGGAGGGATGAATTCAAGTTGACATCTTTGTTCAAAAGCACCTGAACACAAATTGATTTTCCATACTCTGCATGCGTATTATATTAATCAGAAACTATGGTTCTTTGGAGAAGACTGAGACAGACAATAGATGACACCACCTGACAAAGTATACAACTGAAGATAAACATGCTGCAATGTGTTGCAACAACACAGCCTAGCCTATGGATCCGGGAGGCTGTTCCAAGGCATCTTCGAGAGCTGGGGCACTTTCAGGTGCAGTTGGGAGAGAAAATTTCGCGTGAGTCGTAAGTTGTTTACGAATGAGTGCGTTGGTTTGGAAACTTGTACTGCTGGACACCTTTTCGCATTTGTTTACAATGGAATTGATGTATGTATCTAAGTGTTTGATTTCGGACAGCAAGTGAACGTTGGCCCCAAGTTCCTCATGAGTGGGAATTTGGACAAACGTCACACAGTCTCTCTATTGAGAGGTATCAAAAGATGAGCCAAGATCAAGATCTCCTGCAGAGCACAGATCACCTCTTGGACAAAAGACACTTGGCACTGCTTGGCACCAACAAACAACGATCAAACAACGATCAAACAACGATCAAACAACAGACTGAGTTTGGCAGTTTGATGCTGGAGATTCACGGGGAGTTCACAGGCCACGTTAGCCATGTTCAGCACCACGGGCTGACAGCAGGGCCTCCATGCCTCAAAAAACACCTTTTAAATCCTTAAACTAACCGTTCAACTCTTCAAACAAGTCCAGGTTTTGTTAAGTTTTGGTCGTAAGCATTTTGTCAGATGGTGCTAACATGAACTCAAACCATGTACAGCCGTCTTGTTTGATTTAGATATTTCAAGAACCAAAACAATTGAAACTCTGCCAATGGACATTTCAACACTAGCTTCATTTTGTTGGATACACGGACCTTTCCATATTTGTGGCACCCAGGGGCTTACCCATTTTGTCTGTTTCTGTCGTTGGGCGCTGTAGTCACCCTAGTCCAACTCTAACTGACTCTGACTCTCTATAAAACTCGAGATGTCCAACTATAGTCTGAGCTGTTTTCCGCTCAGGTTTGCAGACTTCGGAGACATGTCTCTACCCAGGGGTAAAGGTGCCCGATTTGAGGCATGACTGGGAGTGACCCTGCCACTTTCATATTGAAAAATCCAGGTTAAGAGAATTTAACGCCAGCATGTGCCATGTTGCCATGTTGCAGTTACCCCATACTACTCCCATTGACAGGCTCCTCAATCTGATGATGAGAAGAAAGATGACGAGCTCAGTGCTCAGATTTCCCAGACAACAACATGTGCAGCTATGTACATTGATGCAGGGAGACCCTCGCCCTATCATAAATGAGGCAAACTGGAGTTGCTATTTTTAAGCTCTAAACAAAGACGTTTGTTGTACACGCATGCTGTATAATATAAAAACCACAACTATATAACCATGGTGTAATGAGGAGACTGAAAAATAAGTTTGGCTGGATAATATGATTTCAACATAAAGGACTCAAGCCAGCCAGCACTGACTAATAGGCATCAGAGGTGTTTTGTGCCTTGGAAGCCCACACCTGACGTCCAACTTTTTACGTCTTTCATTCATAGTTTTACGCATCTCCGCTGGATTGAGTACTACCCAATCATATATACACAATCATTGTGCAGGTGCGCTAGCCTGTACTGAGGCGACCGAGCATCCTGAAGGCAGCCTTGGTTTGCACATAGATCATAGATTGCTTGAAAGGGGTGAAACCGGGCCGTCTGTCCATTTGAAAGTGGCTTTGCTTTCAGTGCACTTGAGTGAAGATTGGCAAGGCAAACAAATTATCATCTCGAACTGACTCGAACTTCACAAACTTTCACGAACTTTCATGGCCTGACCCGCTTATTCTGACTCTGGAAGGTGCCAGATGATGGAATGGGTAGACGACCCACCAGCAGCCCGAAGCAATGTAAGTACTATGTAAGGACATGTACGGACTATGTAAGGACTATGTAAGCACTGTAAGCATCGGTTCAACTGGCCTTTCTTTCGGAAGGCGGATACATTGTTTTTCTCTCGGCATTCAAACCAGCAAACTTGCAGCATCAGAAGCGTGGAATCATGACTGGTTGCAAGAGGCCTCAGTTTTGCCGGACTCCAAAACCGTCTAACCTGGGAGATTGTACAACAAAGCTTATGTAAGCTTACGAGCAGCTGAGGCAAGAGCATCAAAAGTTCAAAGCAGCGAAGCATCTTGGCTTTGGTCAGTTGGTCAGTTCAACATGTTCAACTTGGTTCAACTGATGAACTACGGTGCACAATGGTGCACATCTCTACGCAGTCAATTGAATGGTACAAACGGTATAGGCCTGATCATGAGGAACGCATGCTAGGGCGGAATGGTTGTAAGCTGTAAACTATTGTACACCTTCATTCAGACAATGTCATGTATTGGTTGGATCATCAAACCATCCTCAAGATGATTAATCATCATTAGTTACTATCACTGGTATTGTTCTTAGTAGCAGTATCACCATGAAAATTGATGAAAATTAAACATTCAACGAATCCAACATGTTATCAGCATGAAAGAACAAGCAATAACTTGATACTGTCTGTAGGATCATATTGTCGATCATGTTGTCAATTTCCTCTGTGTTTGATGAATGACTGCTTCGGGAATGTTATTGTTCATCTCTGCTTTTTTCTTTCGACCTCAGGCACTGTGCTCTCGGAGACCTTGGCGGAGATTGTCAAGGAGCGTAAGGTGCTTCGGAACAGCTGAAAAGAAAAATAGGTGAAATGTTTTGGATGATGTTTTGTCTGAGCTTGTTGGAAATAGAAAGCCAAATCATCAGACCTTGACATCATACTTGATTTCAGGGCAAGCTGTTTGGCTGTTTCCATGTCTTTCGTTTTCTTTTCGGGAACTGTGGGCAGCATTGCCCCATAGAGTGCCGAGGCTGAAGAAATGAAGGATGCCTTGAAAGCTAAGATTTATGAAAAGGAGGGGGGGACGGGCCGGACTGGCCGGACGGGAGGACTTGGTCAGGACTTGGTCAGGACTTGGTCAGGACTTGGTCTAGTTAAGGATGCAAAATTGCTGTGCGTTGAGACAGAGACATTTGTTGTGGAGCTTCTTGTCACAAAACTAAGCCATTGACATGTTACTTCATTCCATGCTTATTTGAAGTGACTTGAAGTGACTGGAACTGGTCTATCGGTCTATCGGCAGATTGTCAAGTGGCTCGTTCCACCCATCCCTTGCCACTTTCATGGAAGTCTTGCTGATCTTTGCACTCTTTGCCATACAATGCTGAGCACGGAGGACATGATGGCGAAGAATGTTGGTAGCAAAGCAGCTGAAGTGGTGAAGAGTATGGATGTGGATCTTTCCAGGCTGGGATCTGTTGGGTTTCAAGGAAAACTTCTCTCCTTCCAGACTGCCGTACTGCTGGCTTACCTCAGCATGCTTCTTCTAGCCGTAAAGAATCATAGTCGCCTGGCCCATACCACGATTTTCGGTCGATTTGCACAAAAAGGATTGGCACATTCAACAGCTAGCTGATTGCTTAGTGGTCTATATAGTTGGACCGTGTGAGAGTGTATTGGACCATGTTTGACAGGCTGGACAAGCAGCGGCAAACCATGCACCAGTTCATCTCTTCCTCTTTCTTTGATTCCTTCATCGGTCTGATCATTCTGGTGAATGCCGTCATCATTGGATATGTATTTTGGCTGAAGGTGTGTGCCCCAACGGCCCCAACGCAGACTTTTGCACAATCCATTTGTTGCAAGCTAGACAACAGTTTAGTTGAGATTGGCTTTGGATTGAATGGAAATTCAGGTGCACAGGGTATTGTACTTATGAGCAGCACCGGGCAGCACCATACAAAACATTAAATCAAGTGGGACCTCCGATCCGGCCCCCTCCTTTGCGACATCCCTTTCATCACGTATCATTGTGCAGGCCTGTCGTGTTCCGCTGTTTGCTAACGAGCCGTATTTGACCAAGCAGAACATAGCATGGTCCATGCTATAGTCGAACCAATCCGACTCATCCATTCCTGCCTGCTTCAAGCCCGGTTCCAATCTTTGTTTAAATTTTCAGACTGGAGCCCATGTTTACAGGTTGGTTTCTGCTTTTGAAATGGCCTGGCACAGGCCTGAAGGGACAACAGTATTAGTGGTGGTCAATGAGCTCCTTGACATCCTATGCAAAACCTTGTAATCAGGCATCTACTCCAAAGGCAAGAAGTATTTTGTTAATTAGGTTATAGGAGAACGGAGACAGATGCCTCCCTGCCAACCTGCGAACGCTGGCCTTGCTACCAAAAAAATTGCGCAGCAAAATGATGTGGCTTTTGATGACATCCTGGACAAATGACCGCGACGAAGCTTAAAAGCCTGGCTCCCCACGCACCCCGTCCAGTCTGGCTGAGTAGGAAACTCTGGGCCCCATAGGGGTGGATGATCTTCTAACATTGGTCTTAGTCTGTGTTTGCATTTTCGGTTGCTCGAGGTAGATAGAGATACACACACAATGACAATCCCCTAATTGCATTTATCTTGAGATCCAAAATGTGGAGGAGCTTGTTTGGCTATGGGATTGGAGCTCGCAGAAAGTGTGCCTGCATTGTTTTGTAGAGTTCTGCCACTAAGGAAGCTGAATTGAGCGTCCAAATACCATTTGGTTGTGATGAGCAATGCAGCTTGACAGAAAGTGACAGAAACTCACAGAAACTGACAGAAACTGATTGAAGAATTTGAAGATTCTAAGTTCCAAGAAGGAAACAGGCCCAGTCCGAAGCTGTTTTGATGTGTCTGTCAAGTTCATGGCCATCCTGGGCCATCCCGGGCCATCCCGGCCTCCAAATGTCAGGCAAGTGCGACCAGGCAACCTCGACAGGGAATTGCTTTGCGATGCCTCAGTGGCTACAGGTCGGGAGCTCGAGGGAAAATAGGATTGATCAAGCCATTGAAAGAAGCCTTTGAGCTTTTTGGTTTGGATCAAGTTGGATCCATGAAATGCAAAACGTGTTGATTTTTCTTCAGAAGGGTGTCGTCGTGTAGTTTTCTGGATCTTGATTTCGCCGAAATACTTGGAATTCATACGGCAGAACTTAGACGGCTCAAACTTTTGGGGGAAGGATGTTCAAGGTCCTGCGAAAGCAACTTCCAAAGCGAAAAACCAGCCTTTTGATTTTTTCGATACAGGGCCACTTTGCCAAACCCTACACCAGAACGCTTTGGCTGGAGGCTGTCGACTACGTCTTTGCGGCAGTATACATCGCAGAATTTTGCTTGCGGCTGTATACCTATGGCATCCCTGTACTGCGGACACTCGACATGTACTCTGTGAAATAGAGACGAACTCTTCGTGCATCTGGAGGCTATGGGAGAAATTTGTCCTTATGCTAAGAAATTTGATAGCAGCCTTGCATATGCACCCAAACATCTAACTGGTAGATGGGACATGTTTGGGAAATCCGTGGCCTTAAGTGATGCCAAGTTTACTCGGGATGCTCAGACACAAGCGTGTTGGGAGGGGAAACGCCTTGGACAAGGCGTGCCTTGATATCCTTGATAGATATTGATAAATATGGACATATCACGAAAGCTAGCGTCAGCTAGCTGGAGTCTTCTTGCTTTAGCAAGTATTCCGGGGGCTGCTCAAGGACATCAAGTGATTTTTCACGCGAAAGGGGGGGACCCCCCCCTCCCCTCCCCCCCCACCACCACCACCACCATCACCACCAAGCATCATCATCAATCATCATCATCATCATCGTCATCATCATCGTCATCATCATCGTCATCGTCATCGTCCTCGCCATCATCATCGCGTCATCGTCATCATCGCCATCATCATCATCATCATCATCATCATCATCATCATCATCATCATCATCATCGTCATCATCATCGTCATCATCATCGTCATCATCATCGTCATCGTCCTCGCCATCGTCGTCGTCATCATCATCATCATCAACATCATCGTCATCATCATCATCATCAGCATCAGCATCAGCATCATCATCATCATCGTCATCATCATCAGCATCATCATCATCATCATCATCGTCCTCGTCCTCGTCATCGTCATCGTCTTCGTCATCGTCATCGTCATCCCCATCACCATCATCATCATCATCATTCATCATTCATCATTCATCATTCATCATTCATCATGCACCATTCTTCATCATCATCATCATCGTTATTCAATTACATTTTATCATTATTGGCAATTATTGGCATTATCACGAAAGCTAGCGTCAGCTCGCTAGAGTCGTCTTGCTTTAGCAAGTTTTCCGGGGCTCCCCAAGGACATCACGTGATTTTTCACGCGAAAGGGCCCCCCCCTGCCCCCTCCCCCATATATATCATTGTTATATATCATATATCATATGTCATTGTTGCATCCTCGTTGGGACGAACAATGCCGCGACACGATGATGACAGTCCCTCCGCAACTCATCTCTTCCCTTCCTTCTTTCTCCTACCCCGCTAGCTTTCGTCATCCACCCCCGGCCTCAAGTGTCTATATGTATATGTATATATGTAATACGTAAATACAATTCCGTTTCCATAATCCCAACTGTAGTTTGGAGCTGCCAACAGGAGCTGTGCCATCCAAGGAGCAACTGGGTAAAGTTCGATCTCTTCTTGATTCTGTCCAGCATGTTGGACATCGCCCTCAAGCAAGTGGCCACAGTCAGTGAGGTTTTGCACCTTGACAGAATACGGAGACACGGAGATCGTTTGGACATTTGGCGTGTGAGACTTGAAACCCCGTAGAATGATCTCGGTGGAACTGGTTCCATACAGGTTCCATACAGGTTCCATTGTTGAGCCATGTGAATGCAGCATGCAACGGTGACTCAGATGACTAAGGACTCAGATTTTGCTGGCCAGGAGCTTGGGCCAGACATTGTTTCAGCGGGGTCGGGTGCACGGAAGTCTGCTACTGCCGCTACTGCCGCTACTGCACAGCTCAGCTTTCAAATCGACGTGCCTTTTTCCATGTCCATGAAAATACATAAACACTTCATCACTGCCGACATTCATCATTTCTCATTGATTTCTCTTTAGCGGGTCTCACGGTCTCACGGTCTCACTTTTACCCACTTTAAACGTAACCTATACGGTGCCTATACGTAACCTTGAGCCAGTGAGTTGCCAGTCAGGTTCGGATCTTGCGCCTAGCACGCCTGGCCCGTGCAGTGCGCCCAAAGCTTGGTGTTAAAATGTGTTAAACATCAGCAGATAGGCCGTGGATTTACGTCAGGATTCAGAAATCTTTCCTGTTATGGCTCAGTTCAAATAGGTACCATGTAGACTTGGAGCTGAAGTTACCATGTGTAGAGTATAAAGGGCATACTGAGTCATCCCCAATCAATTTGCATCTCCATCAATTTCAATATTTTAGGCATCTACTCAAAATGGCCAGCAATGGCTAGGAATCTCACCCAAAGCCAGGAGATGTGACGTCAATGAGTCATGAGGTATATATTAGGCACATGTTAGGACACTATGGCATAGCCTAACACAGCCTAGCACAGCCTCGCCTAGCATGATTTTGTCCAGCAGTTTCTCAGCGACTGAGGTCTAATGGTGCAATTCCGTGTGCTGTGGCAGCTGGTTCAAGGTTTGCTTCACAGTGTGAGTTGCTTGGCAAGTCGCCGACTGGCAAGATAGAGAGACGCCGAAAAAAAACACAGATGCAATCTGGAGCTCCAGGCAGAAATAGAAGTGACACTTGAGAGATCATTGGAATATTTGACCATGGGCGTTTGGAACATTTTGTAACTATCGTAGAAATTCGTAGAAGGTTTCTGTTCTGTGCCTGCACCTGAGAATTGCTGCATGGGACTGATATTGCAGGGCCATTGTAGTGCATCAAGCGACGCTACTGCTGGCTACCTTCCTCATCCTCAGGCACCTTGTTGTGGACCTTTTTGATGGTGATGATTTTGGTCTATGGCTTCGCCATTGTCGGCATTGCACCTTGTCGCAAATGTGGTAGAGCACAAATTGGGAGCACCTTGTGCAACGTTTGCAGATCGCAAAGTTGGGCTCGCCCTTGTCATTAGAGTCATGGAACTGTGAGAGCACAGGGCGGGCTCCAACAGCGGGGATCAAAGACTTCCGCACTGAGAATGCAAAACAGCCAACTTCAACGTCTTGTCAAGCTGAAATAAGCTGAACATGTTGAACATGTTGAACTGCAAAAACCAAGGAGACAATTCATGTTGACTTGTCTCTGCCTTTGGACCACCCCTACAACCTGGCAGTGACCTCCGACTGCAAGTTTTAGCCTTTTCGCTCTTTTTTCGCTCTTTTGCATATTCATGTTCGTCTTCATCATCTCATCGTCATCATTGTCCATTTGTTCTACTGGACTCATGCCGTTGAACGAATTTATCATTACATCAACTATTGACCCCACCTATCACCCGCTGAGCCACCATTGCAGCCAGCTAGTCACCCATAGTCACCCACTATCCCGAAGCGTGTATTATCCCTAGTCACTACTCATTTCCTAGGATGACTTGAGCCTTAGTTTTGGGATCCTTGGGGACCGAAATCCTAAGAGTCCCAAGCATATACCTCATACAATACATCTCATACAGAGAGAAGGACGGCAACAATGGGTTTGCCTTCAGTTGCCATTTTATGGGCACCATCCCTTTGTTGCCATCCCTTTGTTGGGCACCCTTTGTTGCCATTTGTTGCCATCCTGGTTTGCTGAAGGACAGAGAACTTTGAGTCCTTCAGTGACGCAATGCTGACGCTCTTCCAGTGCTTTACCCTGGACTCTGCTGGGCAAGTGTACCGGCCTCTGATCACACACAACCCTGTCCTGATGCTTGGCTGCATACTGAAGATTACAGCATTCAGCTTGGATATGCTGCTGATATGCTTGTTTCAGTTCAGCCTCAGACGGCTGGCTTTCGGTGGTTTCCCTCAAGGCTCGACGCTTGGTTTTGCCCTTTCCAGTTCGACGATTTGTTTTGTCAACAGCTGGATGATCCTTTGGAGTATGTATACATTATGTATACATTATGTATACATTATGTATACATTATAAACTCATGATGCAACTGCGAGATTCGCGAGATGATCCACACACACACACTATCTCACTATCACTCAGAGATGACGAAAGAGTGACCAACTTGGCAGGGCGAATGAGTGCTTTGTACAGCATGACGGCACTTCTATCGATTGCACTACACAAGGATTGCATACTTCATGACAGTCATCCTCGTCATGGCGTGCCTTGGCACTGTGATTCTTGTTTCACGTCCATTGCTCTGTGCTTCAAGAACTTGAACATGCAAAAAACTTCAAGATTTCGGGGATGGCAGACTTTCGACGAAGGACAGAATAAGATCCAGTCCTTTCTGACTGGTGTCAACCTCCAGTCACAAGTGGGTTGCTAAGCATGTTTGGAGATCACTCACTTTTCAGGTAGGGGAAAACCAAAGTCAAAGTGAAGAGACGATTATTTAGGAAAGCCAGCCGGGAAGCTGGCTAGTTGTTATTTGCGAACGAAGTGAGAATAGGGGGTCTGGGGGGGGTAGTTGCCTGAACGTTTTCGAAGTCTGTGCAAGAAGAGTCTCTGGGTGAAAAGTATATGGGTGAAAAGTATTTGCAAGAAGAGTTTCTGGGTGAAGAGTCTCTGGGTGAAAAGTACTGGGTGAAGAGTCTCTGGGTGAAAAGTATGTGCAAGAAGAGTTTCTGGGTGAAGAGTCTCGTTGTGAAAAGTATATGGGTGAAAAGTATGTGCAAGAAGAGTTTCTGGGGGAAGAGTGTCTGGGTGAAAAGTATATGGGTGAAAAGTATGGGCAAGAAGAGTTTCTGGGTGAAAAGTATATGGGTGAAAAGTATGTGCAAGAAGAGTTTCTGGGTGAAGAGTCTCTGGGTGAAAAGTATATGGGTGAAAAGTATGTGCAAGAAGGGTTTCTGTGCGAAGAGTCTCTGGGTAAAAAGTATATGGGTGAAAAGTATGTGCAAGAAGAGTTTCTGGGTGAAGAGTCTCTGGGTGAAAAGTATGTGCAAGAAGAGTTTCTGGGTGAAGAGTCTCTGGGTGAAAAGTATCTGGGTGAAAAGAATATGGGTGATAAGTATGTGCAAGAAGAGTTTCTGGTTGAAGAGTCTCTGAGTGAAAAGTCTGTGCAAGAAGGGTTTCTGGGTGAAGAGTCTCTAGGTGAAAAGTATATGGGTGAAAAGTATGTGCAAGAAGAGTTTCTGGGTGAAGAGTCTCTGGGTGAAAAGTATGAACACGAAGAGTTTCTGGGTTAAGAGTCCCTGGGTGGAAAGAGTATGGGTGAAAATTTTGTGCAAGAAGAGTTTCTGGGTGAAGAGTCTCTGGGTGAAGAGTCTTTGGCTGAAAAGTCTGTGCAAGAAGAGTTTCTGGGTGAAGAGTCTCTGGGTGAAAAGTCTGTGCAAGAAGAGTTTCTGGGTGAAGAGTCTCTAGGTGAAAAGTATATGGGTGAAAAGTATTTGCAAGAAGAGTTTCTGGGTGAGAAATATTGGTTGATCCGTCTGTGGGAGAAAAGTATATGGGTGAAAAGTATGTGCAAGAAGAGTTTCTGGGTGAAGAGTCTCTGGGAGAAAAGTATATGGGTGAAAAGTATGTGCAAGAAGAGTTTCTGGGGGAAGGGTCTCTGGGTGAAAAGTATGTGCAAGAAGGGTTTCTGGATGAAGAGTCTCTGGGTGACAAGTATATGGGTGAAAAGTATGTGCAAGAAGAGTTTCTGGGTGAAGAGTCTCTGGGTGAAAAGTATATGGGTGAAAAGTATGTGCAAGAAGAGTTTCTGGGTGAAGAGTCCTGGGTGAAAAGAATATGGGTGAGAAGTACGTGCAAGAAGAGTTTCTGGGTGAAGAGTCTCTGGGTGAAAAGTATGTGCAAGAAGAGTTTCTGGGTGAAGAGTCCCTGGGTGAAAAGTATATGGGTGAAAAGTATGTGCAAGAAGAGTTTCTGGGTGAAGAGTCTCTGGGTGAAAAGTATGTGCAAGAAGAGTTTCTGGGTGAAGAGTCTCTGGGTAAAAAGTATATGGGTGAAAAGTATGTGCAAGAAGAGTTTCTGGGTGAAGAGCCTCTGGGTGAAAAGTATATGGGCGAAAAGTATGTGCAAGAAGAGTTTCTGTTTGAAGAGTCTGTGGGTGAAAAAGTATATGGGTGAAAAGTTTGTGCAAGAAGAGTTTCTGGGCGAAGAGTCTCGGGGTGGAGAGTCTCTGGGTGAAAAGTATGTGCAAGAAGAGTTTCTCGGTGAAGAGTCTCTGGGTGAAGAATATATGGGTGAAAAGTATGTGCAAGAAGAGTTTCTGGGTGAAGAGTCTGTGGGTAAAAAGTCTGTGCAAGAAGAGTTTCTGGGTGAAGAGTCTCTGGGTGAAAAGTATATGTGCAAGAAGAGTTTCTGGGTGAAGAGTCTCTTTGTGAAAAGTATATGGGTGAAAAGTATGTGCAAGAAGAGTTTCTGGGTGAAGAGTCTCTGGGTGAAAAGTATGTGCAAGAAGAGTTTCTGGGTGAAGAGTCTCTGGGTGAAAAGTATATGGGTCAAAAGTCTGTGCAAGAAGAGTTTCTGGGTGAAGAGTCTCTGGGTGAAAAGTATATGGGTGAAAAGTATGTGCAAGAAGAGTTTCTGGGTGAAGAGTCTCTGGGTGAAAAGTATATGGGTGAAAAGTATGTGCAAGAAGAGTTTCTGGGTGAAGAGTCTCTGGGTGAAAAGTACATGGGTTAAAAGTATGTGCAAGAAGGGTTTCTGTGTGAAGAGTCTCTGGGTGAAAAGTATATGGGTGAGAAGTATGTGCAAGAAGGGTTTCTGGGTGAAGAGTCTCTGGGTGAAAAGTATATGGGTTAAAAGTATGTGCAAGAAGGGTTTCCGGGTAAAGAGTTTGTGGGTGAAGAGTCTCTGGGTGAAAAGTATGTGCAAGAAGAGTTTCTGTGTGAAGAGTCTGTGGGTGAAAAATTATGTGCAAGAAGAGTTTCTGGGTGAAGAGTCTCTGGGTGAAAAGTATATGGGTGAAAAGTATGTGCAAGAAGAGTTTCCGGGGGAAGAGTCTCTGAGTGAAAAGTCTGTGCAAGAAGAGTTTCTGGGTGCAGAGTCGCTGGGTGAAGAGTCTCTGGGTGAAAAGTATGTGCAAGAAGAGTTTCTGGGTGAAGAGTCTCTGGGTGAAAAGTATATGGGTGAAAAGTATGTGCAAGAAGAGTTTCTGGGTGAAGAGTCTCTGGGTGAAAAGTATGTGCAAGAAGAGTTCCTGGGTGAAGAGTCTCTGGGTGAAAAGTATATGGGTGAAAAGTATGTGCAAGAAGAGTTTCTGGGTGAAGAGTCTCTGGGTGAAAAGTATATGGGTTAAAAGTATGTGCAAGAAGAGTTTCTGGGTGAAGAGTGTCTGGGTGAAAAGTATATGGGTGAAAAGTATATGGGGGAAAAGTCCGTGGGTAAAAAAACATTGGGGGAGAATAGGGTTAGATGGGATGCTGGCTTTCGTTCCCCCCTTCTCAGGTATTTTTTTGCCATGGGACAGGGAACAAACACTTGACTATTGACACATTGAATTTGGAGACTAAGGGTGTCACTGATGAACTTGGTGACCGCAGTGATGGTGAATTCTGCCTTGGACCAAGCAAGCGAAGATAAAGATGTGGCCTGCTTGCAATGATTGGAGGTTGCCTCACGTCCGCAAGATGCCAGACGTCAGACACAGATGCACACAAACACACACACACAGACACACTGGATAAATCTACTGAGATCCTTAGACTAGACCTGCATCACTTATTGGCGGATCGCATATGTGGCAAACATCCAATGCGGACGATTAATGGCAAGAGTCCCAGTGACGCAGAAACAAAAGTAGAACAGGGGGTCCTTATTGACCAAATCAAACTCCACATGGAATGGACATCGATATCTTTCCATATTCTTCTCGGGTGCACCTGTCCCAGATCATTCGACTGGTAGGTGAAGCGAGCCTACGAAGCAGTGCAGAAGCGAAAACAGTGCCATGGAATAAGACGAATAAGATGTTGAATTGGAATGTATCGTAGCTGCGTCCTGACCGTTAGCACTGACAACCTATCCCAGTAGTTTATGACGCTTTTGGTTGACCTCGATTGGTGACCTTGTGGTTGTTTCCATTGCGTGGGAGCTGGGTCGAATTGGGGTTTTAAGAGCAGAGATAGCAGATAGCTCTGAATTTCCGAGAGTGTTTTTTTCCCTCTCGAAACTCCAACATAAACTTTATTGAGTCTGTGTCACACACCTCATAAGGCTGGAGCAGCTGAAAGTGATGTTCTTGGAACTCGATAGTGACGGTTCAGGTTGGGCAGAGGGCTGACCTTTCAATCAAATGGGGAGGGCAAACTGCATTCTGATCACCAAGCCAATATGCTGTCATATTCCTGACGGATGCATCAAATGCACGTTTTTGGCACATTCTTAGCTAGAAGATCTTGAAGGCTTTTTGCCATACTGGTATCGACTATTGTGTCGTGGCCAGCTCTGTCGGCAGGGCAGAGGACAGTGTTGATAGTGTTGTGTTTCTGCTGAGCGATGGTGGGTCTTCAGGATGAGTACCTGAAGCTATGCTTGACCACTTCATTGCAGAATATCTTCCATGCGTGGTTGCAATTTCTACAACATCTATCTATATAATTAATTCTATAGAATAATTTGGTTAAAAGTTTTGTTTAATTTATAAACTTATATATCCATGCTTGCTCTGGTTTGTCCATATGTAATCATATATATAATTATATATATATATACATATTTGTATTTATATATCATTATGTCTATGTATACATATATACATATATAAAGAAAAAACATAACTTTTATCATTTCTATCATATGTATACATACATACATACATACATACATACGTACGTACGTACATACATACATACATTACATAACATAACTTAACATAACACTACCATACATTACCATACATTACC